ACTACATATTCGGGATGTTCATTCCACTCTCTAGTTGTTCTTGGGAAGAATGAGTGATAGTAGACATCCTTCTTCACTCTAGATTGTCTAAATTTGTGGTTGCCTCTGGTCCTACTGTTACCTGATGTGTAATACTTGGCTGGATTAATGGCAATCAACTGGTGTTGAGTCTTGTAACACAGCACAAGACTCTGTTTCCATCTACATGTTTTCAAAGCAAAATTACACGTTACTAATTTAATCTATCTACTTTATGCTTACAGATAGTTTACTCTTTTAATGCCATATATTCTTTCTGAAAAATTGCGATGAGAAAATTCCGTAACGGTAATGCACATAACTACTGACATACTATCACCGACAGTGTAATAATTAGTATTCAATAGAATTTGAATAAAAAATTATATATCATATAGCATAAGCTAGTAACTAAAACTATTGACCTTTGTGTTGTAAAATCAAATAAGGAGATGTGGTATGATTGCCGATGGAACAAGTATCCATAAAAATTCGACACGATTTGGATTTTTAGCGACTATAGGTCAGCGTACGGCTTTCAGCAATGGCAAAACATTTGCCGTAAAGGGAGCTACAAAAAGGCCCGACATGACAAAATGTGACACAATTCAAACGAAAAAAAACAACTGCTAAATTATGAAAACAACAGTTTAACGCATACAAAAGACAGACATCGACAACCACCGAACTACAGACCCATGATTTGAGACAGGCATAAATAGAAAAGAGTGGTGTAAAACATGTTTGTGAGCGCTCAAAACATCATCTAACCTGGGGAAGTGGTGGACCAGCAGAACAGAAGAGCAAACTGTTAGATGGAGATGGTTTGACTCTTTAGATTGTCACGAAGCACAAAAATAACTTAAACAGACAAAGGACTCAAATAAAATTGAGAATGGAAATGGGGAATGTGTCAAAGAGACAACAACCCGACCAATGAGCAGAAAACAGTCCAAGACCAAAGTACCGATCAATGAGTACTCGAGGTTACTAAAAGCGAGTTCAAACCTAAGTAAATCATATTTTCCCAATCTAAATATAACAAACGATGCTATACTTTATTTGCATGTCAAAAACGGACAATTAACAATTGCACATTTACTAACTGAATAAAAGTTACTGTAGCGGATGCACATGTCCATAATAATATATGTACAGTACTAGTTGTAAAACAAAATCGTTCTCCTAATATGTGTTTCCGAATAAGTTATTAAGCCAAAAATGTACATAACATACTAAACTCATCTGGTTTCTGTTAAATCATAAATTATTTCTTGATCGATTTTGATATATTTTTTTTAAAACTAGCATTTAGGATAGTCAGTTTTGTATGAACAGCTTGTAAGCTGTTGTCATATTTTATAAAAATAGCTTTTAAAAGAATACTCATGCAAAATCTGATGGTTCATGATTCTAAACGTATGTTAAAGCAAATATATTACACATAATTTGTAATTCAAATATTAATAAAATAAACTAAATTTAAAATGACTAACCTTCGTATGTTATTGCATATATACAGAGCTATCCATATTAATATCCACATCGTATAAACGTTTGCATTTTCTAACAAACAATATCATTTAGAATAAAGTTTGTATTTTACCTTGATTTGTTCACTGATATATTTATAGTTATGTATATATATATTATAGATTTTTAAATAACATAAAGAATATAGAATCAATAAATTGTTGAACAAAATATTGGGATACAAAATTTATTCTTAACATTTTTATCTAATTATGGTATTATTTTTCTATCCAATATATATATTTGGTTCGGAGACTCCGAAACATCAGTCACTTAACTAAATAATTTTAACCTAATACTACTGTTTTGGTTTTTTGGACCCACTGTTCATATATTAAGTGATCTGGTTTTCAAGCATGTATGGCATGTGCTTACATACTACGTATTTATCATTCCTGTTTAACATTGGTTGTCAAGCATGGAAAACTCTAGCCATGTAGTTATCAATCTTTGAAGTTCTTGGCCACTGTTTATCTAATGCCTTAAATATAACCCCTGTCACCTGTATAACAAGCAGTTTATTTGTCATTGACTCTTATCCTTTCTGCGAAAAAGGCTATGAATGTCACAGCCGTGTAAATTAAAGGCCATGTGGACTTTCACATCACCAGCAGACATAGGGTGACTCTTATCCATTCTGTGAAAAGGCCATGAGTGTCGCAGCCGTGTAGATTAAAGGCCATAAGGATTTCCGCATCACCAGCAGACAGAGGGTGACTCTTATCCATTGTGCGAAAAGGCCATGAATATGACAGCCGTGTAGATTATAGGCCATAAGGATTTCCACATCACTAGCAGACAGATTGTGACTCTTATCCATTCTGCAAAAAGGCCATGAATATGACAGCCGTGTAGATTAAAGGCCATACGGATTTCCACATCACTAGCAGACAGAGGGACATTGTTCACTTTAATGCAAACTATATTTTTTTGGAGCCTATCTTTAATTTTGCAAGTTTAAGGGCACCTGCGTGGCACGCACACAAATTTAAGCCTCTCAACAACAATGAAAATATCTTCTCGTTATCAATATAAAGGCATATGCCGTATTCCCTGAACACTTTTAATTCGCGCATAAGATACTTAGTAAATATTTGATTATTCATCTTGACATTTGTAAGTCGAAGACACTGAACCATACTCATCTTCGTGTATAAGGCGAATGGAATTCAACCATTTCCTGGACTACTCTGTTTGTTTTAAAGTGTCACAATTTCATCCATTTGAGTTTGACCAGTTACCACATCGGAAAACGAAGCCGTTTCATTTCTTTTGATGTTTGTGTTGATTTTATTTTGTCCACTTCATAACTGTTCATTATCCATGTATGTACCATATTGAACATTCTAAAGGAGTTTTATACGGTAAGCTGTCATAAGTATACACATTCATTCAAAACCTGAGTCCCCTTTACCTCAATATCATGATTTTTTAGACTTTTGTAACGAAGTCCTATCTGAACGAGCTATTCCGAACAAGGGATATTCCTAGGACACCCAACTTCATTCTCCTTTGGTCAATGCTTTCCTGTTTTGCGATTAGTCGACCTTATGGTGTAGTGCATCGTTTTTTGCTAGTAAACACAATCCTCGGCCCCAACACCGGTATCATCAGACTCGGACTTCTCGGTGAAGGATATATCTGGATCCTCCGTCATCGGAATAATTTCGTCGTCACCGTTCGTAACTATTTCTGGTACTAGTCAACAAATCTTAGTCGACAACGGTAATTTTTTTATCTTAACATCATCTGCAAAGCCTGAACAATAAATATAAAGTCATGTTCAATCCTTCAGTCAATACATATACAGTGATAAAGAGTCAGTGCTGCTCAGACAATTCGCTTGAAATCAATTCAGTATTGGTCAGTAGCTTTTCAGACATTTCAGTATGTTCTTAATCTATACAGGTGAATAACAACTACTGAACATTCTGAACAAATACTTAACAGATCTTAATTGACTGCAAGCGAATGGTCTGAACAGTACAGAATTTACCACAGTGGATAAGTTTGACAATTGATGGAAAAACTGGAAATGACTTAATAATTTATTGCGCAATCTTTTAAGAACCGTTCACACCAAAATGACCGTTTAATACTAAAATTATTTTTCCAAAGATGGGATCCCACACAATTAAAAGTTTTCTGAGTCGCTGCTGATTCGCTTTGTCTCACTTGGGTTTCCAAATGTAACTGACTTTCGTGTGACTAGCAGATCCAATACAATAATCCGTTTATACATTTATTATTTGCGTACATAAAAATTAAAATAGTAGAAAAACCGAACTCCAAGTAAAATTCAAATCGGAAAGTCCCTTTTCCCATAAGTAACCGAAAAAATCAAATCACAAAATTATGGATATGTGGCTAACTCACTATTCTTACATGTGCGTCAAGGTTTTGCATGCACTAATATTCAATATTTTAAAACCACATGTCTGTGTGCAAAGTTAAAAGACAATAAGAAAGACATTCAACTCCTTCAACAAATTTGCAGCAACAAAGCAGCAATCTTCTGAATTCAGTATCAAACTGTGAAAGGAAAACCAAAGTGAATCGTACATGGCTAGACTGAAATCTAGCAGTTCTTAGCTCATTTACTAAATAATGGAAAACCAAATTACACTTCATAAAGAAATTATTTTCTATACAATACATTCGAACACTTAATTTAAGTTACTCAAACGATTTAAATAAAGACATCAACTTCTTTAGTATTTTGAGGGCACTCGTTTCACAATTATATATTTGTTTTTTTTTTAGTAATAACTGTTAAAAATTGAAAGTACGAATGATTATAAGTTTAGTTGCAAAAATGAAAATAAGATTGATTTGTAGGTATTTTATAATATTTGTGGAGGTTTTAGTAAAACGATGATCTCTTTTTGTTAAACAAACAAATATCAATACTGATCAACAATTGTTTGAAACCATTATATTAAGGTATGAAATGTATGTTATATCAATGAACATATCTTTAATGTAGGCTATTTTATGTGGCTGAACTCCTCCCCCTTAAAAAAAAGAAGAAAAAAGCAATAACCTAAAGAATTCGAAACTTTTCTCGAGTATAGACAAGAAATGTGAGTTAAACGTCTTTTTAACTGTCTTGCTAGTAACTTACATTTAAAATCATTTGGAATTGTCAAACTAACTGAACTTAAAGAAAAAATACACATATAAAAAAGAAGAACGAGAATATTAGTCAAATTGTAAATTCATTAGATATTTGTTAAATAATTGATTATTCGTGTGTAAACTATAAACTTGTCATTTAAAAAGTCATAATGCATCGATTTGGTAAAAACATTATTATCCGTCTGTGAGTTAATCATGTGCATGCGTTAGTAATAATTACTAAAGCAATTTACATCTTACTTATTTAGTTCAATTAAATAGTGCAGGATTTTATCATGTTCAAGATGAACGTGATTTTATTTTGTTATTTTATGCTTATAACTTGTGTGACATCTTTTAATTTGACTATTTTACATACAAATGACGTCCATGCACATTATGATGAGATTAACACATTTGGTGGTCAGTGTAATAACATAGGAAATTGCTACGGAGGTATGGCGAGACTCAAGTACAAAGTGGATGAAATAAAGAGACTGTATCCCAACAATACAGTATTCTTGGATGCAGGAGACCAGTACCAGGGCACATTCTGGTTCTCAGAGTTCGGTGGGACCATTGTTCACACATACATGAACCTCCTGGAATATGATGCTATGGTAAGTACAATAAAGTTCATTAAGGCTCACATTTTGTGTCATCGTCTTGTTGCGCTTCATATTAAAGTTTTTCTTCTTTAGATTTTGCCATGATTTTGTTGGTCTAACTTTAACTTATTGGTTTGATTCTGCCTTTCATATCGTCCGGCAATTTTTTTTTAAATATCATTGTTTTCATCTCAACTATAAAGACTTCTATCTCCTTACTTTGAAGATCCACCCTACTGGTTATTCATGTTTTAGTTGGTGCTGAACGCTTCTAGTTTTCGATCAATATGGATGTGAAAAACTCATTGTTTTCATATAGTATTAGCATGTTTAAGGAACTTGTAATCTATGGATATCAGTAATATTCACAATTTATTAGTTATAATACAATTTGTAGATTGTGTTTCATGACTATTCATGAGTATTTTCGTAACATGTACACGATAAACTGTTGTTCAACGTGTAGCTTCAACAATATTTGGTACATCTAATACTAGTATACAGTTTTCAATTCAGTGTACATAAAACTTCTTTCGGTTGGAAAATCTTCAAATTAAAGAATGCAACATTTTTTGCAGTTGATTCTTTAATCAAAGGTACTTTCATTGCCTATTTTGAGGTCTCAATATAAACCAATTCTTCAAAACTGGTTTTATCCATGTCAGCAATGGGAGTTCTGGGTTGAAATGTTAAATAGCTTCGACTGACTTCTGACTCTTTAGTGAACTCTGTAGGAAGTCATCCACCATCTACAATGAGAACAAATAAGATCATTTTATGTTTCCTGCTCTTCAATATTGTCAATTTTTGTTATGGTAAACGGAACATCATACTTCATCTCCTTATTCTTAAATAGATGCCGAGTTGAGTTTACGATGCAGAAACAACTTTTTGTTTATTACTGTGTCATGAAACTGTCCCTTGTTTTTGATTAATACTTTTCTAAACAAAAATCAGTTTCGGACTCTCTTCATCCCACATTAGAACGATCAATTTGATAAATGATATCAGATAATCAGATAATTATTTAATTAATTAGATCATAAAACATTCCGTGTAGTACATATTCTTCACATCTTACAAGTGTACCAATAAGATATGATTCTTGTAGATAATGACATTATTATACGTATATCATTTCTCAGGTTTATAAAAAATATGTTGCAGTATCAAAATTACACTTTTGTAATATGCCTAATTGTTTTGATTAAATCTAAGTTAATATGTTGTATTAAATGAAGGCAAACTTTTCAATAAAAGCTTTAAATTGTGAATATTAGACTCTCGTAGCTAGGATGTAAAGTTATAAATGAGTAAGATGTAGTGAGGATAATGTTTACACTGTAATTACATGAATTATACACATTTTAAAATGATTTTCTTTAAAATAAAGTTTCTGTAATTCTGTGTGCATTTAAACCAGTTCTGATCAATTTATAAATTTTGACACACCACACGCTGACTAAACCTGTCAAAATAATTGTCCACCATATATATTTGGAACTTTGTAGTTGGAATTTTCTTGTATAACACTAGTAATTTAGGCAACAGTCGTTTACTTGTGTTAAAATCTCATAAATCAACTATGAAGATACAAATCAAGGTAAGAAACACAAATTGTTGGAATCTCATGAACCCCAAATAGAGCTAGACTTGGTGCTTCGACAGGTTAAGAGTCTCTTGCTAGGAATTACATCTAAACAGATCTGGTTAACCGTTAATTACAATATTTATTCATTCTTGATAATTAAATTTTGAAATTGTAATGTTTAAGAAGATAACTTTCACGATTGGATAAGTAACGTAGTCAACGAGGTGGTGTGACAAAAACTATATATATCCTTCGTGACAGACGATATGTGATTGATACTTAAAACAGCGGTATACATCTAACAAACAAAGTATTACTGGACGCTTTATTTGTATGTTTTGAGCTTGGCAAATTGTCTGGATAGCTGTCTATTGTTGAACGATATATGTCTTTGATTCATTTATTAGTTTGGCATATTCCTACATATCATCTTCATTCAGACAAAGCCATAGGCAAATGAAAATGACGAAACGTTTTACACAACAGCAACACATCAATTGTGGCATTGTTTTAATTACTTCACAACTTTTTCATTGTCATTTCCTAAGTTCTGTTATAGCTTCATTTTCGAATTCCCTCTTTCTTCGACAAAAGAACACTTACTGTTTTCAATTGATACTCTAGAAACGCCAATATAAAACATAAAAAACAATATATGGTGCGTGGTTTGCAAAACCTGGACCAAGAAAAGATTTTTGTTTACTGTTTTCAAGTTTAAAAAAGAAAGTAGCCCAAAATCCGTCAAAATAACTGAGAATTGTATTTAAATAAACAAAGATTCCTTCACAATTGGCAAGAACTACCATCAAACAAGTCAATATTTGGCAACACATATCACCATATGACCAAATCTGTTTGTAGCACAGGGTTAATTAGTCCGCGAGACTTCTGCATAACTGCACTTGATTGTTTTTCTGATCGTACTCTTGGACCAGAACAACGTTCTTAGATATTAAATTTTTTAATGGTTTGTGTAATATTTTTGCATATTTTTGCTAGTCCTAGCCTCCCTGCAATTTTTTTTAACTATTTATTTCACCGGTTTAAAGCTACAAACGAGACAGTAAAACTGTCTGAAGAAATATTTTACATAAGTTATTTAAAATGAATTTAATAGTTTAAAGGGCTATATTTTGAAAAAGATGAACTATATAGGTACTGGTTATAAATCAAGTGTTATTATTCGTTTATTCCTGATCGGAACTGCTTTGTCAGAAATGTATCAGAACGAAATGGCAGTTTTTTAAGGTGATTTGTTCAAACAATAATCAGTTTCATATGAAAGTCTGTCATATTTGATACAGTTGGTTTTATTTGCATGCTTATTATAATAGCAGAACCATTTTCTTAGATCACAAACCTATTACCGTTTTAAATCTAAACAAATACACTTTTAATGCATGCTGTTTATTAAGGAATTTGCAGAGACGGGTTAAGAAAATAAAGAACACTATTAAATGGAATCAAACCACTCATTTATAAACCATGATTATATAATTCTATAATCTACCATTTTTAATTGAACTGCTGAATCCTATTGAATATACAAATTCATCTCTTACAGGCTCTTGCCACTTGTAGAAAACAGTGATAATTTTAAAGTTCCTAGCTGTAACATCGATGCATCTGGAGAGCCTATGATTCAAAACAAGTTTCATAAAAGTGTCATCTTAGATATAGATGGCGAAAAAATCGGCATTATCGGTTACACAACAAAAAATACACCCATATTATCCAATCCAGGTACAAAACTATTCTTTGAAATAAATTAAAAAAAAATATCCGGACAAATATTATGAATCAAAGGTGTTTTTTCAAAACTAGTAAAATCAAGCACAAATCAAATCATTTATCATAAATATGTTATAATGATTCTAATAAAGTCTCAATGTACTTCTCTAATTACGTTGATGATTTCATATGAATTCATGTATTGTCTCTTAGATATTCTTATTGTAAGCAGGAGCCTTTGCTATATAACACACATCCATCTATTTATCCAGATTTAAATTTATTTAGATCTGTATGTTTTTATTGTATTTCAATGAAGTCTAATGGAAATTTAAACATTTGTAAATCATGCACTTAAGCACAGTAGTAAGTTATGCATTTTTACTGTACCCATTGCTTATGTACAGGTAATTTGGTGTTTTTGGACGAGGTCACATCCATTCAAACACAGGTCACCATGCTTAAAAACCAAGGAGTAAATAAAATCATAGCTCTCGGACATGCCGGATTTAAGGTTGACAAGAAAATAGCACTTGAAGTGGAGGATATCGATATTGTTGTTGGTGGTCATACAAATACATTTTTATATACAGGTATACTTATGTTTATAATAATGTATGGTTATAATAAATAACAAATATGATTATCTATTTGTACATAGTCATGATTGAAAAACCGTTATATAATTGGCAGGTTAAGGGTCATGAATTATTCCGAAAGTTCCTGCGTTGGATATTTCTGTATGTTACCAATGGATTTTCAGTTATAAGGTTTGCTAATACATACACATACGTTTCCAAAACAGTGGGTTAACAGGCGAGGCGCCAACAATATAAACATTATGTTATATATATAGCACGCCTTTTGTTGATGAGTAAGGCGTGGCTATACATGATTTGTACCATTAATGAGCGATGACACATGTCGGGGGTTAAACTTAACTGTACTTTGCATGAATTAAATATGTCAATGAAATAGTGGCGCTTTCTATGACAAAATGTCCCTAATTTTCAGACAATGATCTCATGGATCGGACTTTTTAGTTGGATTTGATTTAATGATAGATACACATGTTAATGAATCGTTGCCGTAATACTTTCATTATGGTTTAAAGACCAGAGAGCGATTTATGCGTTATTGAAGTGCCTCCTCCCCGGGCAAAAATTCTTGAGGGGATAAATGCAAAACCATGCTGCCTGCATTCAAAACCAATAAGACGTGTAGTTTTAGAAGAGGTACACGAAGGAAACTTTTTACAACTTATTGTGAAGGTATTCCGCCTTTCCCAACACCATGATAATGATCGATGAAGAGATGGGCTGTTGATTGCGTAAGATCCAGAGATAAATATGTTTAGCACGCTCAATTTACGGAGATATACCTTTAAAAAGTGGAGGAAATGAAACGACTAAAAATCCAGTGACAATTTTTTGGAATATTCATTTTGACACGATAAAAAAGTATCCCCCAATTTATCAATATCGCCTCATTTTTTATAGAGCACGTTATGCCTTTTTGTAGCTTTCCTCGGGTATTCATGTGTTGCAAGTATAGGAAACCATTTTTAATTTAGGGTTAGGTTTACAAGTTGGAAAGTTTTGAGTAAGCTCCCCCCCCCCCCCCCCCCATTTTTCCAGATTTGTTTTTTTATTTACTGTTGTGTATGCATTTTGTTTAAATTTATTAGATGTCCCTATTGGAATTTTGAAACAATACATTTATTAGGACATTTTATGGTCATTGATTTCGTTGTTTACTAGGTCAAAGAGGCGGAGCTAGACATTGAAATAACAAACTTGAGATGGAAGTTAGAGCACAGGTCTAAGCTCCTTCCATTCTTTGCTTTTCCTATGACAAGCGACACACGGCGGGACTGGAGAGTGCAATTACTAAACAATCATTCAGTTAACTCACTTCTCGAAAAATAACAGAAGTTAACTCACTCAAAGATCAAAGGAAAAATTACCAATCATGTAACAAATGGTAATTGTGGTATTGTTTTAATTTCTGTCGTCAGTACTATTTCACGAACGTTTTCTTGTGAACAGTTATATATACCTCATCTTCATATTTATATATTACAATCAGTAGCGTTATCGAGGAGAATGTGCAGAACATTGAAAATACATCGGTTTAACAGAGGAGGTAATGGATTTGGCAGTTTATGTGCTAGGGCGGATATACAAAGGCAGTTGACATACAAAAGAAAACGTCTCATAAATTACAAATAAAAAAACTTGTACTGATAGAGAGCTATCATAATTGATATAAAATATTATAAATATTTGCATTTCATGCGAATATACCTTTTCTTGCATAATAAATTGGAAGATGCAAAATGAAGGGGTTCCCCGAAGAACACAATCTAAAACGAGTATTCAAGTTCGTTCTTTATGAACTCATCATAGATACCAGGATTAATATTTTGAACGCATGAACAAATTGATATTTTTTGAAAGTATTACAATATTTCAAAATGAATACTCTACCTTAAAAATATTGTTTTTCTAAATATCTAGGCACACCGCCATCCAATGATAACGCAGTAGATGTTTATCCCACAGTTGTCATAAATAATAATGGTGACGAAGTTTTAGTAGTACAAGATTATGCCTTTGCTAAATACCTCGGATTTCTGCAAGTGGAATTTGATAACAACGGAAAAATTATACGTTATAATGGAAACCCTATATTACTGGATAATTCTATCCCTAAAAGTAAGTATTTGTATTTCATAATTCTGTTATTCATTCTTTGCATCAAAATGTATCAAAGATACCAGACTGATAATTTTGGATGCGAGGGGCGCGTTTCGTCTTAGACTTAACAGTGGCGCTCGAAATAAGAGTCGGAATCGCCAAAAATATTGTATATTATATTGCTTTTTTTAGATAGACAACTGGAGAATGTTACTAATGATTTCGGAAAAGGGTTGAGAGCAAGAATGAACAGTGTTATAGGACGCACATTAGTTTTCCTAAATGGAGGTAGATTTGTCTGTAGATTACAAGAATGTAACTTAGGTATGATATATACAATACCAAAAGTCATTCTAAACAAGTTACTTCAAAAGTTTCCAAAGAGCAATTAATAATGGCTAAAGGTAGACTTAGTCTCGACCTTTTTTTTTATTACAAATACTTAATATTTTTAAGTAGAACTTTCATCCTTTGCTCCTATTATGGTGTGTGTTTTCTAGTGTAACAAGGTCTGCAAAAAATAAAAGGATCTTTGAAAAATATTCTGGATTACTCCATAGGTGAGCCATGACTAGTTTAAAATGTTCTATTTACTAAACAAAATACCGCCACTTTACATTGACAAATTCGCAGCCGTTCCTCTAGGTCAATCCGTAACCACTGTTAAAGATAGCTGTATTTCTATTATATTGATGAATATTGTCTGGAGGAAAGTATTGTATTGCACGAGATAAGTCATTAAGTAGAGTAAATTAGGGCGACAGTAGTTTACTGGCTATAAAACCAAGTTTAACAATCATTTACTTTGGAATATACCTGTACCAAGTCAGGAATATGGCAGTAATTTTTCACTTGTTCCGTTGATTGATGGCGTTTGAATTTGTCGGTTTTTAAGGACTTCCCCTTTTTGAATTTGTCTTGGAGTTCGGTAGTTTTGTTGTACTCCTTACTGTTGTTCAAACCAGAAACTAAGAGAATCCCACGAACTCCAAAATTAACAAAACCGAGTCGACAGGTAAGCACAATCTGCTATGCATGCATAAACTGCCATGCGAATTTACACTTAATAAAAATGTCACAATAGGAAATATGACACAGTCGGTATAATTACAGATCAAACGACTGTACTGATATGTTAAGATCTAAGATCGCGAAAACGTGTCGCCAAGGAGTTGAGACACCGACACAGCGTACCGGGAAACCAATTTATGATTGTGACCATAAAATATTTGAAGTGTTGATTTCCGTCGTTCTTGCTACTATCTCTGTTACAGCCGATTTATGTGTAAGAAGCATACCCCTGTTAATATAATATAAGTCCGTATACTGTGAACATGCACGGGCATAGCGTATTAACCGAGACATGTAAACGCCATGGGATGGTGCGGAAGGTATGCTTCTGATGAGAAATTGGAAGTTGACAATTGGAAAGTTGAAATCATCACGTTTGTCATATATTTGAGTTTGTAGTCGTCCAATTGTGTCAATATCGAAGAACAGACCAAGATATGATGCAGACCTCCTTCTTTCGGTAGTATCTTCAATTTTAAGTTCACTGGAATATATGGGACGTAAGCACTCCTTGGTATGAATGTGGAATATTGAGTGACAGAGCATCATCAATAACCATATCCAACAGCATTTGAACTATATACAGTGTATCTTTGCTTTTACACCAGAACTTCTAAAAAAAAACCCACATAGCATTAACCTACCGTCGTCCTTTTTAAGCAAGTTTGCAATAAGCAGTATCGGAGAATATTGAATGATAATTGTGGTTAAACCTTTAAAGAACGTTACGTACCTATACCACAAACCGTTTATATTTTACGTTGCCCTCCTTATGGTGCATCACAATGCTTATATTGATTCAAATTTATTTTTTTTAAATTGGAATTAACATTATCAGTATTAATATTCTTCCTTGTCATGAATTCAGGAAATTTGATTGCCGACGGCATGGTTCATCAGAATCTTTTACACGCAGACAGCGTAGATGGAGCTAAAGTTTTTATATCCATAGTCAACTCAGGAGCAATACGATCATCTATTGAAAGAGGTAATATGATGATACAACACCTTTAACAAGACACCTATAACCAAATTATGACATGAACGAAAACATGTTTGTTCTTAATAAGTTATACCGTTTATGGTCATTTCGCAAAATTAAACATTACAAATTACTCTAGAAGCGTTAAAAATTTAAATTAGTATTAAATATGAAAAAATGTTGATAATAGAACGCATGATATCGGACATTTGTTAATGTAGCTGTCAATAAGCTGGGTTTTTTTTATAAAGCAACAGAAAATTTTGACAATGTTTGAGTATTCATAGCGGCAAGTAAAAATACAATGAAACTAAACATTTTCAAACAAATCAGTATTTCTATTCATTTAATACCTGAGCTCGTGATTAAAATCTTCAATTGCAATATGTATATATAAGAAGTTATGTAGTGCAATGTTTTTTTGTTTTTTTTACAATGGTTTGATAAAAGGTAACAACAATTCCAGCCGTATGGAACCGTAGGTAACCATATATACTAACTGAAAAAACCCAGGTGTAAGGAATTACACGATACTCATATTATCACGATAGAAACATTCATTTTACAAAGTATATTTCTAAACAACTTTTGAAATCCGAATAAGCAATTGATGAATTTATACCTATTACAATCCTATTAGTGTAGAAAAGAATAAATATATTGCATAGAAAAACAGTTCTAACATGTATAATAAAGAGTTATTTCCGTATCAGTTATTTAGTATATAAATTATTGTATGCTTCATAAAGAATTTGATCAATATTACCCATGTCTATTGGAACATTTGTGTTTGTCTTTATATATCTAAAAGGTACCTTGCATTTAAAGCTGCAGCATACTGAATATTGTTAGCATCTTACAAAGAGAAATTTTACTCACATGAAATTCACGTGAATTTCACTTCAAACCAGTTTAGACGTGACACTCACTTGAACTGATTTCACGTGAGTTTGACGTGAACCTCATCTGAAACTCACGTGAATTTTCAAAATACAGTTATTCAATTAACATTTAAATTTTTAAATTTGATTAAAATCGTAAAAAAAAAAATTTTCTTTTTTGTAAATTTCACGTGAAATTCACGTCACCAATTTCAAGTGAGATTCATATGAAATTCAATTCACATGAAATTCACATGAACATTTTCACGTGAGTTTCACGTATAAGCTCGTTTGAGGTGAGTTTCACATAAAATTTTTCACATGAATTTCATCTGAGATTCATGTGAAATTCACGTCAGCAGAATTTGCCTGTGTAAACGGCCGTACAATAGTACAAAGTTAGAAGAAGAATTACAGGATAACATCAATATTTTTACTGAAAATCTGTATAAATCATATATATATATATATATTTTTTTAAGGCAACATTACAATCGGCAATGTTTTAGAGGTGAGCCCTTTTAGGAATACAATTGACACAATCAAACTAAGGGGAGACTACTTACTGCAAGCATTAGAACATAGTGTAGCAGACTATGATATAGATGGACCAGGTGGTGCGTACTTACAATATTCAGGTGAGTGTTAGGTAAATGATTTCCATATGTTTGTCTTCGTGCTATAAGGATAAAAGAAGAAGCAAATAAAGGCAACAGTAGTATACCGCTGTTCGAAACTCATAAATCGATAGAGATAAAAACAAATCCGGGTTACAAACTAAAACTGAGTGATTCTTACAATATATACTTATGGAGACAGGTCTGTACATATTTTTTCTCAGCGAATCCCATTTAATTGTAGAAAACTTATCAACAGTACTTAATTGTCAACTGTAACTTGTATATTTATTTGATTATAGTTGCCAATAACAGAACGGAAACTGCTTGTCCTTGCAGAGCAACTATACTCATCTAGGTTTTAATTGAGCAATATTGCTGAATATAGATGATTTTGTACAGTTTTGTGGGCTATTTCTTTTTCAACAATGTCCATTTTCTTTTTCATATTGGGATTTCTGTTGATATGATTATATTATTTCTATTGATATCGTTGTGTCACCCCTTTTAAGTGTATACAGACATAGGAAGATAAACCAAATAAGGAATATTTACCTTAAATATTAGTGGTGATTATCATCATACCCCATTTCAAGAATAATCTTTATTAGTTACGTATGGAACAAACGAGTTCTAAACAAAAGAGAACAACTTGCGCCTTAAAGAGCCATAACCTTAGTGATATTGGATTTACATATTTCATCATCTCATTGAATGCTTAGCTATTTAAAATTGTGCATTCAGATTGAATTGAAGCACTATGAACATTAACGTTAAGACCATGATATATCACAAACCCAACTCATAAGACTACAACCTGACTTTCAAATATTTTCCTTTGAAAGTTCCTGGTGAAGTTTATTCAAGAAAAGTGCTTCGGACGCATCAAAATATATCAAGTGTCATTTTCTATGTACGTCTTTAATGAGGGTAAATGAAGAAAAGTGCGTCGGACGCTCGAAATTTCTTAGGGGTTATAAACATTTTTTATTCCTTGTTTCATAAGAAAACAAGAATGTGTCCATAGTACACGGATGCCCCACTCGCACTTTATCATTTTCTATGTTCTTTGGACCGTGACATTGGGGTCACAACTCTAATTTGGCATTAAAATTAGAAAGATCATATCATAGGGAACATGTGTGCTATGTTTCAAGTTGATTGGACTTCAGCTTCATCAAAAACTACCTTGACCAAACACTTTAACCTGAAGCAGGACAGACGGACGGACGGACGAACGAACGGACGCACAGACCAGAAAACATAATGCCCCTACTACTATCGTAGGTGGGACATAAAAATTGTTGAAAGCCGTACGTATGGTGACCTGTAGCAATGTTAATCATTTAGATTGGTTGTTGGTGGATGGTTATTTAATCAGTAGACACAAAACATCCTTATACTTTTATATTAGCTCTTGAAGACAGTTGAATTCTATGGAGATAAAAAAACACACACAAAACAAAATTCAAAATATATTGCACATTTAGTTAAATCTATAAACAGAAAGTTCAAAAGTTAAGGAATTTTAGCTTATCTTTTAAACCTTTTCAGTGCAATATGGTCATATCCGCTTATTCAAAAACGCTAACGTGTAATGCCACACTTTAGACCCTCAAATTAAACGATGATTGGTGTAACGTTATACGTAACTATGACGGCTTGCATTACTTTGAAGATTGTCGTCCTCGAAACTATTCCAACTCCGTGGTGATACCTACAGAACATAAAATAAAATTAGTATTGAAAACCATCTCGAGGAAATCAATTAGAATTTCGCAATGTCGTGAGGTTGGGACGATTTGACCGTCGTAATTAGCCATTAAACTGGTTCAACTCCGTGACACCATCAACATCAAATGAGTGAGCCATAAGTTCTCCATGTATTATGGAAGTCGTCGAATTGATAATGTATCATCTTTAATTTATTGCATTTATTATAATTTGATAAAATTAGATTATTTCACTACTTCCAGGAATAAAAGTAAAATATAATCTCACAAAACCAGTGCAACAAAGAGTAGTTGAAGCCTTAGCTATCTGTCAAAACTGTACCATTCCTGCATATGAACCGATTGATGAGAATTTAATGTACAGTTTGATTTTAAATAACTTTATACGTAATGGAGGAGATGGATATTTCATGATCAGGGACAATGCGGTACAATCGCATACTATCGGTAAGCTTCTTAGTGCTATTTGATTATGAATACAAAAACCAATGCGCATACTGACCCGGCGACTATTCATTAAAAGTTAACAACAATATATCGGATACCAAATATGATAAATTTTGACTACATGTCTTCAAAAACCTACAGTATTCAAGAAACATACATGTATTTTCAATATTCCCTAATTTTATACATCCCATACCACATTTCAGTGTTTTTGCCAACATGGAATATCATTGATACGTCATGTCTTGTAAATTTACTATTCGTAATTTCTGGTCAATTTGCTATTCGTAAAACTTTATTAAGTATCGAAATACTACAATTTTTAACCCAACGGATTAGAAGGCAACTGGTGAGTTTTATATCAACGAAATTATGCGCATTGTATCTTTGACGATTTATTCATTTTAATGTGGGTCTATCTTTTCCCGACGAAATATGTTTTTGTCCAAAAAATTGATTAGATTGCAATAAAACGGATATATTTAATATCACTGCGATGAAACGTACTATGCTAAATAAAAAAAAATTAAAGCACATGCACAAACAGACTATCAAATGTGACAAATTGTCAATGGTTGTATAAATCCAATGTGAAAGCTGATCAATTGATGAATTATATATTTGTTTTTACAAACAGATGAAACATATTTAATGGAGAAAAAAAAATGATGCTAAAAGACATAAAAAGTAGTTGAGAACATTGTGTACATGTCATAAGGACGAACAACATATAAAACGCTTTTTGTGATGTCAAAATTGTATGTATTTTTTTTTAAACAGTTTCAACATAAAAAGGTATATTATCGGGAATATATTTCACAACAGTAGTTTACCGATTGAAATCATAATTTGAAAAATTTGACACATTGAAGATTGAAACAAAAACTGTGAGAATCCAAGGAACGTGTATATCATGCAGATAAGAAATACACAGAGTCTGTCATATTATTACCTAGCATTACAATACACCACTTTCTAATATAAAGTAAGATCCTCCGAGTGAAAAAATAAATCAACCGTGGTCAAATTTCTAAATATCGAGATTTGACAGAATTTTGCATTCTAAAAATATTATTCACATTATATAATATTCCTTTTTCACAGGAGATCTTGAGGCGGATGTTTTAATTGAATACATTAAAAATGTGTCACCTTTTTACAACGGCATTGAAGGGAGGATAATTATGGATCATTCAACAGAGACAATTGATAGTTTAACATGTAATGACGGAAAAGTGATAGCATGTGACGACGTTACTGATTCTACAAACACCTGTGATAGTTTAACGTGCGAGGATGGAAATGTATTAACATGCGCTGGCGTTATAAATTCAAAACAATACAAATACTCTAGACGAGCAACACAGAAACAAAGGAAACGAAAACGAACCAAAATGCAATATGTCTAAGAAACAAGAGCAGACATAAGGCAAGAATGAACATTAATTATGCGGATATAATGCGTTTTCTTAAAAGAAATTATTACTGATAATTTACAATTATTTGACAGTTTCGGTGTATTTGCATTTATTTCAATAAATAAATTTTAGGCATCAATCTTGTTTTTTTCGGTATGTAAGTAATTTGGCGTAGGTTGTGTGTGCAAGACGCGCGTTTCGTCCTGAGCTTTAAGAGTTTAAAACATTATGCGGATAACAGAAATACTACGAATTAATGTTACACAATATAACAGACCCCAACCATCAAAACCGACATTTGCCTCCTCCAAAACATACATATTAAAAAAATCAAACACATTGTCCATATAGCCTCAATATGGTCAAGGTATTTTTTTGTTTTACAAAACATTCTCTTTGTCTGTCTAGACCGTGTATGGTTAAAGTAAAACATACAATATCAAATCTGCTGAATGTGTAATAAACCGCTGAGAGCTGTTGGAGTTCAGAGGCATTGTACACTGACGTTAGTATATAATGGTCAATGAGGAAAACAAATACACAAGTTTGACCCTTTAAGCGACCTCAATTTTTGAGAGGTAAACAGTAGGAAATAAATAGTAAGGTAGAATTATAGTTTACTTCAATTAACAGTGAGTTCTAACAACATACTTTAGTTTCAATTTGAAGACATTTTTGGAAAGAATCATAAAACACAGCCTATAAACTGATCAACATCATCATTGATTTCAGGTTGTTGTTTTCATAGCACTGAGTACTATAGCATAAGGCTGGCAATGCTTTAATATTGCTTCATATGCCTGTTTCAATTCATTGACCTCCGGAATTTTTGTAAATTTCCATCTATCGTCATATGACCATGTACATGTTCCAACTGTGTTCAACCACAATCCCGTCCTCTTTTTCTTGATAGTGACACCACGGAATGAGATTTATCACCGGATTTGTGCGGGAATTAGCAAAACAACTGGTACCACATGTGGAACAGGAACTGCTGACCCTTTTACCCTTCAATTTTTAGTGGGGTTCGTGTTGCTCAATCTTTATTTTTTCCATAGTAGTGTTTTGTGCACTTGTTTGTCTGTTCATCGTTTTTTGTTTTTTTTTTTATCATCGTGTTGTTAGTTTATGTTCCACGTATGAGTATCCCCTTGTTATCTGCCATCTCTTTTTTTGTGGAATGTGCCGGCAAAATACTCTCAATTCTAGTTCCTTTATCCTTTGTCATCAAGGTATCTTAATTGGGTCTGTTTTAAATTTTAGGTCTGAAACAGAAGTACACAAATGTAATTCTTTCATTAAATTTCATTGTAAAATAGTTTTATGTAATTTACAGTTCTGACCTGAACAGATAAATTCAATTTGACACATGAAAATTCCATAAACAGTAAAGGAGTATCACAATGAATGTTTTATAATTTTCTAATAAATGTTAAGGCCCAACAGATACAGGATATATAAAACATGTCTAATAACAGTTTAGAGTTAGGAGTGTTAAACGGGATCCTAATCAGGTATGAACACCGTATCATGACCTGTACAGATTTGTGAATAATAACGTTTTTAAATATAAGATATAAAACAAAAATCAACAGAGGATTTGTAAGGATTTCAGTCTTTTACATTTTTATTTAACCAAAATAGTTAACTTTACTTTTAGCAAAAACTAGAGTGGTTATAAAGGATTGAAAAGGAAATGCACCTGAGGATTATTGACATATATTAATATATAGTATACCTTGGACACTTGATTGATAGATCCAACAACGGATTGATAGATTCAATCGGTTAAGAACTTTGTTAAAATGTTAGTACTTGCAAATTAGTATTTTTTACTGTGACTTGACTATAGGTGTTGCTGTTCAACCAGATTGTAAAATTGACAATACAATTGGGACATTTAAATTGACCAGTTGCCAGATTTAAATCTCACTGAACCAGTAAGAATCTACCTTGATGGATTTACCTATGAAAGGTCCATGAAGTGACTTCACCTGTTTAGTGGTTAAATTTTGTTCAAACTTTAAACTTTATAGATGAAAACAGCAAATTTTCAGGAAATATTTGATATTTTATCTATTCCAATAACAATAATAATGATAACAACAATAATAGTGTAAAGCTGTTATTGGGAAATGAAATTAAATAGTACATAATCAATTAAGAAATTTTGTAATCTGACCCATTTGAAATTATAAAAACAGTGCTAATTTCAATAAATAACATAACATGCCTACAGTTTAAATTAGCATACACTGGATATGGTATGAAAAAAGCTTGAGTATGGCCACAATATGCAAACGATTCCATGTTCTAATTTTTTAATTTCATTTTCCAATGTTTTTCTTTAGAGAATCCTAAAATAAGTAAGGGAAATATACATTGAAGTTACAGTCTTTTTTCATTGAAATGAATGTATTCGTAAATGGCCATACAATTGCCAAAGAAACAATTTTACATTTAGAAGGAATACGAGAGATTATTACTTTACTGTCATTTTCAAATTTAAGGAGTGAGCAAGCCAGAACAAGAATATATATGTTTTTTTTCCTTGCAGGGTATTTAATTGCATATCATATAATGCACTACATTTCCTCTTTATTTTTTCATAGCCAAATACAATGAGTGCTTGGATTTCTTTTATATCATTGACAAGTCCTCTTTCATCTCTTTGGCTTTTTCTAATATAAGATAACTCAAAATATTTGTTTTTAACTCTTGTGTAAATCTTAATTATTTTTTTGATTTCCATAATTTTCCAGGATTGACAAACACCTGAACAAATGTGTGCATTCTTTCATTTAAACATTTGTTCAATACTTATTGGCATGAGCCTTGCACAAAGTGTTTATGCATAGTGAAATATAAAAAATAATAGTTATGAATAAACTGTTTATTTATTTATTTATTAACACAGAATTTTGATATTCCATCCAGTATTCCAGTTTCATTATTTGAAGTAATTTTGAAATTTTTTCCTTAATCTATTAACTTTTTGGAATATTTTCTTACATTTTCACTATATCACTAGATTTTTTTTCTATATCCAAAGTATTCTCTTTAATTTCCCATGATATATATACCAATTAAACAGGTGCAGAGTCTTTATATTAAATCCAGAATTTTGTAATTTTTGATTATTTCCAATATCACATTACAAATTCTTTGGATATTTTATTCATTTTTTCCCCTATATCACTTGATTTTACTATATCCACAGTATTCAATTTTTCTTTTATTTCCCATGATATATATTCCAATTTAACAATATCAGATCCAGAATTTTATAATGATTATTTCCAATGTCACATTCAAAATTGTTATCCTCATGTCATGAATTTTTTGGGAATATTTTACTTTTATTATTCACTTTATCACTAGATTTTACTATATCCACTGTATTCACATTTTATTTCATTTCCATGATATATATCCAAAATTAAACAGGTAAATCATCTTCATATTAGATCCAGAATTTAATAATGATTATTTTCAAAATCACATTTAACATTTAAAGCCACAGAAACATGTCGGTTGAACTTATTTCTCCTAATTGCATTCCAGTTTTGATTTTTTTTACCTTTTAGATTAACTAAATCCCATCT